TGATGAAACAGTCAAAAGGGAAACTTGCATGCCAAGGTGCTGCTATGCCAGGGGGTTGCTATGTAAGGACCTAGGGAAAGGCTTGGTGCCCACCCAGGGTATGGCCAACCATGTCAGAGATATGGACCAGCCCTTTGTCACTCTGGCTTTCTTGTTTCAGGCACCCAAAGAAACGTTGGCCAAGGCCGTGTTGGCAGAACTCCCACAGCAAGTGGTTCAATTCTTCAAGCACCAGAATTTGCCACCCCTCAACTCAGAACCTGCTTAGAAGTCAAACTGTTTGCTCCTGGCCTGCATGTATCCCACATCCGTTGGTGGCAGAAGATTGCATGTCTCACGTGGTTTCCAATAACTTTTCATTTAACCGAATTCATTTAATCAAAAGGATCAAAGCATAACCCGATTCCTTCCAAAGGCAACTTGCATCGTGAGCAGTTTAGGGATCTGCATTCAAGAATCCTGGAAGGAAAGAACCCACCGTGGCCGATCCTGGACATTTCCCCTGCCTTGAATCCACAGATCAACTTTTAAGTATCTGGATGTACTTTGTACGAGTTTTGTGGAATGACTTTTTTACAGCCACAACTTACTGTTTCCAAGTGTGACGTTCTCACAATCTCATTGCCCAAAGAAATGTGGACCGTCCTTCAACGTGTTGTAACTTGTACTTTGCTCTACGTTCATTTTTATACCATGTACACATGATTATTTGTTATACTCAGGTTAATAAAGAACCCTGAACTCTTCACATCTCCGTTGAGGCCTGCTGTGATTTGATCCCACTGAGTCCTCCTGCAACTCCTTTGAACCAAATCCCACCAGGTGAGTTACATCTCAACTCCTGACCAGGGTTGTACCAAATACCCGTGAAGGGCACCAGATGGGTGCTTACATTTTTCAGGGGGCTGGAAGGGACCTTGGAGGTCTTCTAGTCCAACCCTCTGCTCAAGGCAGGAAACCTTATTGCATCCTGGACAAATGGTTGCCCAGTCTCTTCTTAGAAACCTGTAGGGGCTGGTATGGTCAACATTGTTCCATATACTGTACAGATAATCCTTGATGTAAGACCACAACTGAGCCCAAGGTCTCCATTGCTAAGCGAGACAGCTGCTAAGTGAATTCTGCCCCATCCCACGACCTTTCCTGCCAGTTGTTCAGTGAATCACTGCAGTTGCTAACTTAGTCACACAATATTGGAACATTGCTATTATGTCACCCCTAGTCCTTGTTTTCATTAGACATACCGAATTTTTCTGGTGCTTTGGAAAATATCTTGACCCCCACTTTTTATTGTGGCAGCCCCTTCAGATACTGATACATGGCTAGTCATGTCACCCCAATCTTTTTTTCTCTCCCCATTCAGCTACTTACTGTAATTCCTGCAACCATTTCTCGTGTGTTCTGGGCTTCAGCCCTTCATCCTCTTTTCTGCACTCGTTCTAAATGTTCATCCTCTTTTTTTACATTGTGGCTGTGCCCCCTGGCCTGTCTCTCCCCTCCCTCTTTGCCTCTCCCAAGGGGAATCCTGGGGGGACCCCCTTCCCTAAATGCCAGGTTACAACTCTCATAACCTCAGTTGAATTTGCAAAACATGCTGGATCTGTGTTGAGGGAAAGGGTGAGCTAGAACTTAATAATTGGGTTCACCCTTGATTTACAAACCTCAGTTTAGCAACCGTTTGAAGTTACAATGCCACTAAAAAAAAAAAAGACTTATGACTGGTCCTTGCACTTATGGCTATCCCTATGATCACAAAAGATCACAATTTGGGCCCTTGGCAACCAGCATGTGCTGGTCAGTTGCAGTGTGCTGGGGTAATGTATTTGATATTGGGAACTGTCCCAGCCAACTTCTGACAAGTCAATGGGGAAAGCTGGATTCACTTAATGACCAAAGGATTCACTTATCAACCATTACAAAAAGTTCATAGAAATCAGGCACGATTCCCTAAACCACCACAATGGTTTGCTTAGCAGTGGAAATTCTGCTCGCGATTATGGTCATTAAGTCGAGGGTTTGCTGTAACTGAGGCCACAATTTTGATTATAAGTCATGATAGTTCTAATCTAAAGCTTGCTGCGTGACCCTGATGTTACAACAGCTGCAAAGCGTACACCATGGATGGTCATTAAGCAAACACTGTTTGCTATGGATTGGTTTTTATGCCGGAAACCAGAAGTAAACCCCAATTTCTTGCAGAAACATTGTAAAGCATGGTTACAAGGCACTGCAAACAGCCATAAATGTAGGCCAACTGCCGAGCCATGTGACTGCAAGGGGTCCCCAGATATTGTACCTTTAAATCTCGGTCATAAGCCCCATTTTCAGGGTCCACCGTAACTTCAAACAGTTGCTAAGCAACCAGTCGTAAGTCATGGCTTACCTGTACATCCTACCTAGCACTAAATGAACGTATTATAGTTTAGCCACGTACATGCAACACAATTCCTGTAACTTTTGATACCAAGAAACAAATAATATTGGGTGCATTTCAGGATTGTTACTATTCAGCCGTGAATTCTCAGAACCTTTACTGAATTTACATAAAGTAAAAAGATTGCTGGTTTCAATAATAAATTTCCATAAAAATAAGCCGTTGCTGTTTTCAGACATGAATTTCCATAAAAATAAGACATTGCTGGTTTTTCGGTCAGCTTGGCTGATAAAAGTCAGTGAAGAACCACTTTAATATTGTAATCCAGAAAATACCTGAATGTATCTCACCAGGAATTAAACTGGAGTTAAACCAAACCTGAAAGTAAAGATAAAATCTTATCCCTGATATGCACTGGTTACTTTCCCCCCCAGTTTTAAAGTGGTTTTGGATTAAATATATTTGAAAATATAATTTAGAGACAAATGAGCTTTTCTTCCCAGAGTTTGGCTTCAGCAGATGAGAGTTACCTGCCTTAAATTAGAGCTGTCTCTGTTTTTGGTGAGTCTGATTTTTAAATTCAGACCTGCAAACAGAATGCATTAAGCTTGGTTAATGTTAACTTTATTTTTTTCTTGTGGCTTCACATTGTATATGAGGCAAACTCATTCAAGGGGCTTCAATCAAGAAATTTAGTGTGCTATGCAAAATAAAACCAGACTAAATCTTAGGTATTGGTAATATCATTAAGTACTTAACAGAGTACAGCTAATTTCATTAAAAGGTATCACACAGCAAATATACTTTGGGCTCATTTTCACAATTGTGTTCATGAGAATACATCTATTTTATTGCTAAGTAAAGTCCTGTTTTAAACTGTTAAGATTAATTTGAATGTTAAGTTCAGGAGAAGCTTATCAAGAGAAGGCCGCTTTCTGTTCCAGGGAATGTTGCATTGTCTCAACTTTAGGGCTATTATGACAATACACATTTAACTCCAGGGTAACAAACGCAGTGACTAAATGACTAATCGAAAGGTCTGGATTTGCATAATGTGAGTGACACACTTGCACCCTAAGTGAAATTAATTACATTCAGCATATTGACATCAGATTTGAAGTGATCTGGCTAGAGAATTCAGTCTATGAATTATTATTTAGCCAAAAAATTATGCCAGTGTCCATTTTGCCAAGTTCTATTGTTGGGGAGAAAACAAAATTAGAGATAGATTAGATAAATAATAAACAGATATATAGATACAGACAAATAGACAGACGATCGACATAGATAATAGATGGATAGACAAATATAGACAAAAGAGGCAGACAAATAGATATAGGTAATATACAGTAGAGATGAGATATAGACAATATACAGTAGAGATGATATACAGTAAATAGATAATAGACAGACATAGTGCACTGGAGGGGCTGTTTTATTGAGCTGCAAATAACAATGTCTTGACTGATTTAGAGTTTTCCTTGTCAGCAATCGTGACATAGTAAAAAACGAAAATATATTTTTTCTTTACAGTGATTGAGGACAGATGCAGATCAAGCTGACATTTGCCCCACTGGTTCTCAAAAACTTAAAACAGCATGGGAACACTACTAGCCCCTGACTTATGCTTAGTGACCATTCGAAGTTACAGCGGCATTGAAAAAAAGTGACTTATGACCATATTTCACACGACCAGTGCAGCATTCCCAGGGTCACGTGATCAAAATTCAGACTGGCAACTGACTCATATTTATGACGGTTGCAGTGACCTTCCGACAAGCAAAGCTCCAATGGGGAAGCCAGATTCTTTTTAACAACTGGGTTACTAACTTAACTACTACGGTTGTTGTTAGCTATGTAACTTAGTTATGTGAAGTTATGCACTTTACAACGGTGGCAAGGAAGGTCGTAACATGGGCCAAAACTCACTCAACAACTGTCTCACTTAGCAATAGAAGTTGTACCTGCACTTGCGCCTCGTTCTTCCTAGGACTACTCCAACCACAAGCTTTGTTTCGATCCCTCCAAGTGGTTGGAACTTGGCCCAATAGAACCTGGATTCTAAAAGGTTTCCTCCAAAGGCAGCCAGGATCAAGGGAGGCTGTCCAAGAGCCAGGGGTTTAATAGCTTTTCTTCAATAAACAGAGCTCACAATATCAACTGGGTGAACATTTAAGGTTTCATTTGTACATCAATCAAAGCATTAAAGTAGAACTACATGCACGGTAGGTCCTCCAGTCGAGAGAATCCCAGTTGCTTGACTGGCCTCCTCCCAGATTTCTAGTTATTATGAAAGAACTCCAGCGTTTTAGGCCTTGTGAGGTAACTACCAGGGATATTATTTTTTTCAGTAATGCCTCCCCTAAGCCAGCCACTCCTTCAAAAGCTCCTTAGTAGTCTTGCAGGGGGGGGAAAAAACAACGATAGCCTTAAAGATTTTCTAAAATCTTAAAGATTTTAAAGATAGCTCAAGATTTTCTGGAACTGACCATCACCTTTAAAACCCCAGTTCAAAGGAATTTGGGCTACCAAGGAGACCCAGCAGGGAGACCAAGAGATGATAGCAAAGCACGGCAGGACTACGTGGAGAAACATGAAGGGCAAAATCCAAGACTTTTTTTTAAAAAAAAAATGCTTTGAGATATATATATATTTTTTTAATCGAACACAACATGGGAATTTGGTGACACTTCTCAAAATTCACTTCTTGTCGCTAGTGTGATTATGTGGCCTCTCCCGTCCTCTTTAATTACGTCACACGATGCCCCTTAACAGCTAAAGGAGCATTTTCGCCTTGCAGAGATGCTGCCACTGATCTGAAAATATTTCCAAAAATGACAGGCAATCACCCCCATCGCCTTTCATCCTGGAGGCTCTTCTCAACCTCCCCCCACGTCAGGGGGTTGCTTTGTTCTCAATGGGTACCCCTGAAACTTCTTCCTGGCTAGACTCCCCTCAGAGTCTTGGGGAAAGGCCTTTTTGGGGGGGGGGGGAAGGGAGGGAGACAGGAGGAAAGAGGCCGAAACATTGTGAAAAACTATTGCAGTACGTGATTTTCGCATTGCCCCCTCCCCCCCCCAAAAAAGGAGACGGGGGAGGGAAAGGGGGGGGGTGAGCTTGAGGGAACGCCTGGGGTGAAGGAGGACACGAGTTCTGAGCGAGACTCCCAAGAAGCGGCCTAGAGTGGCGCATCGAAAAAATTGCTGCCCCGGAAGACGGAAGAGACAATCTTGCCCGTCGAATTGATGGTGCCCTCGCTGTCCGAGCTGGATTCGGAGTCGCTGCTTCCTGAGTAAGCCCCGAGGCCGGGCAGGATACCGATGCACACGGCGGCCGAGGGGCAGTGGAGGGCGGAGCCGCTCATGGCACTGCCGCCCAGCGGGACGCACGATGATGCTTTTTCTGAAAGAGAAGGGGGGAAAAAAGGACTGTGGGGGAATGCAGGTGATCCTCAGCTTATGACCACAAGGGAGCCCAACACGTTTACGATGCTAAGTGAGAAGAAATGGGTTGAGTTTTGCCCCATTTTTTTTTAATTTTTTTTTATTAAACTATTTTTCTTTCGTGATGATATATACTTTTACATAAATCTTAACTTTTTTGTACACTATATCCTTTAGCTTATTGTCTTCTTCTCTATTCAACTCTATGTCTATTATTTAGCCAATCATACAGTACATTCCACGTCAAATAATAATCCGTTTCCTCTCTTCATTTATCTCCATGGTCAACTTACCCATCTCGGCACACTCTAGTATTTTTCTTATCACATTTTCCTCTGGTGGCATACTATCGTTTGTCCAATTCTGTGCATAAGTTATTCTTGCTGCCATTAATAAGTGTAGCATTAAATACTCTGTTTTCTTATCATATTTTCTCATTATTATACCTCATAGAAAAGCCTTCGGTCTTAATTCAATTTGCTGTTTAATTATTTCTTCTATCCATTTTTTGGTCCTTATGCAATATTTTCTCGCTACAGGGAGTTTTACCTCATTTTACAATCTTGCTTAACCAGTGTTAAGTGAATCACTGCAGTTGTTAAGTCAGAAACATGGTTGTTAAGCGGACCTGGCTTCTCCACTGACGTTGCTCATCCGAAATTCACAGATGATCCCATGACCCAGAGACACTGCAACCGTCATGTGAGTCAGTTGCCAAGCAGCTGAATGTAAATCTTGTGACCATGGGGATGCTGTAACGGTCATATAAGTGTGAAAAATGGTCCTAAGTCACTTTTTCCAGCTGTTGTAAACTTCGAACAGTCACTAAGTGAACTGTTGTAAGTTGAGGACTATCTGGTAAAGGCTTAGGATCGTATGCTCCATGTCCAGTTTCCTGTTGAATAGAACATCACTGAGGACAGGATATCTTAAAAAGATTAAATCAAGGCCACTGGACCAAAGTTTATTAAAACTGAGACGTCTTCTTATACATCCAAGTTAACGTCTTCAGTCAAAATGAAGGATTGGGTAGACAAAAGAGTTGTTGGAAAGAATCAGCTCTTGCCATATAGACCGCAGGGGGTTTCTGCCCAAAAGTGAGGACAGGAGCAAAATGGGCATTTAACCCCTTAATCCAGTGTTCTTTAACTGTGGCAACTTTTAAGACAGGTGGACTTCCAACTCCCAAAATTCCCTCAAGAGTAAGAATTCCCATGCCTGGCTGGGAAATTCTGGGAGTTGGAAGTCCACACGTCTTAAAAGTTGCCAAGGTTGAGAAACAATGCTCTCATCTCTTTAGAAATTCTGCCTCCGGTATGGGTAGTCCTTGACTTGTAACTGGTTGCTTAGTGACTCTTCAAAGTTACGACGGACCCAAAAAAGGGGACTTGGGACTCAGATCTGAAGTTCCAATGCTTGCCCGCCTCTGGTCATGTGGCTGCACTTCAGATGCTTAGAACATAGCGGCATTTATAGCTGTTTACAGAGTCCTGTGGTCTCGTGACTCTGTGTTTTATGGCGGTTTTGCTGAAAATCATCACTTCTAGTTTTTGGCCAAGCCACACCATAGCAATCAATCAATCAATCAGAATTGGAAGGGACCTTGGAGGTCATCTAGCCCAGCCCCCTACTCAAGCAGGAGACCCTCTATCATTCCAGACAAGTGGCTGTCCAGTCTCTTCTTAAAAACCTCCAGTGATGGAGCACCCACAACGTCTGAAGGCAAAGCTGTTCCACTGGTCAATGGGTTTGCTTAACGATCACGGGAGTTGCTTAATGACTGCCACGGAAACAGGCATAAACTTTGCTCAGTCACACGACTTGTTTCACGACCTGTTTTGTGGCTATGACTTACGACTGTCATGGACAGGCTCCCTAATGGTCGTAACTCAAGGACTCTCCGTACCCCAAACTCAGTTCTGAATTGAAATAAATTCCTGTTACTGAAAATCTCTTCCACGACTCCCTCGCTATTTGGTACATTGCTCCAAGATGGTCCAGGAAGCTAGGTGAGCAACAGCTTCTGGAACTAAGAGCAGGGGGGGGAAATGCAAAATCCAAATGAAAATGTTAAGAGCTCTTAGCTCCAGTGAAATCGCTTAAAATCCCTGACTTGCATAACCTCTGATCTTTATTTGCTGGAGCTGTCTCAAGTTTGCAAAGAGCAAAGGAGTTTGGATGAATGCCGCTGCAGATCTACCAAAACGATCGATGGTCAACTGGATTTGGCAATCAAAAGCCGAATCGCATATTTTGACATTTCAATGAAAACCCTTTCCCTGCAATGCTGTAATTTCAGTCTTTTGGCCGTGGTGAGAGCATTGGGAAGATAAATTTATAGCCCTATAAACAGTCCAGCGGATTGAAGTCCTGATTGCAGTTGTCGTCTCTGAACAGATTGCCCAGATGCAGACTTTGTGTGGACAAGTGTAATGAAATAAATATGGGTCTCGTTTATATAGAACACGTCAGGTTAAAATAAAAAAGATAGTTGTGAAAATGCATCAGAAATATATACATACTAGCTCGATAGCGATGCTTCGCTACGAAACTATGTGGTCGCGCTTAGTTTTTGGGGAGGAAAATAAGGAGAAAAAAATGTCTGCCTCTGCCTACCAGTATCCATCGGTATTCATCTGGCTAGCGTCCTGTCAGTGTGAGAGTTGAGAGCTGTTTGGAAACTAAAACAGTATTTGCTGTGTGAGCAAGGAGACAGCAAGGAGCCTGGGCGTGGCTTAGCTCAACTGTTTCTGTACTAAAGCTGCTTGATGCTCTGAAAGTGAAACTCCTCTGCTTGTGTTTTGCATTTGGAACAGATTTCTTTTCAGGTGGGGAGGGGGAGTAGAACTCCTTAACATCAGAGCGTGTTAATAATAATAATATATGAAATACTAATGCTCTGATGGTCATTTTGAAAAATCCTTTCTTAGTGAGAAGCCAAGAGGAACATACGTGCCAAATTTCAAGCTTGTAGGCTTTACGGTTCTGGAGATTTTGTGAGGATGCGTGAGGGGTCTTTCGCTTTTATAGATATAGATATATATTGAATAATGTTTGCCTTAGACAAGCATATATAGAATTGTAACTAGTTACAATGGCATATCTTGTTTGTCATATTTTTTTCACTATTTTTGTTTTATGTATCCTTTTTTTCCATCTCTTTAATAGTGATATTACCATTATTACATTTATAAAAATTGATCTTACCAGACCTCTTAATCTCAGTCTTTATGGTTTTGTTTTGCTTGATTGCAGCCTGAGTACACCCAAAGTTGCAATCTGCTTCTATCTTACTGGTGAGCCCAGACCCTCCATGTCATCACAGGTGCCAATCAAACATCAAACTGAAGGAAAAAGGCAAGAGCAGAGGGGGGGACAAAACATCTGTTCTGCGGGTCTAGCAGTGAAGGCCTCAGGCTGGAAACCAGGAGATGGTGAACTCTAGTCTTAGGCATGAAACCCATTAGCCTTTGGCATCAACACAGCTCAGTGACTCTGGGCCAACCACCAGGAGATGGTGAATTCTAGTCCCACCTTAGGCATGAAAGCTAGTTGGATGACTTTGGGCCAATCGCTAGGAGACAGAATGGATGGATGACTTTGGGTCAGTCATTCTCTCACAGCACAACCCACCTCACAGGGTTCTTGTGGGGAAAAGAGGAGGGAAGAGGATTAGAACTGTTCGCCACCTGGTGTTATTTATAAAAAAAAAAAAGATTAAAGGTGGGATTAAATAAAAAAGTAAAAATATCTGGCTCTGGGAAAGAATTTGAAAACTCTGGCTCAGAAGACTTTCCATCCAGAAGATCTAAGCCCCGTTCTGTCTCCAGTGAAGTGAAACATCTCTTCACATGCCATTTTGTGTGTGTGTGTGTGTGTGTGTGCAACGTGCCATTGTGGGCCAAGTGCCACACAGAATGATCAACCATCCCTGCCAAGCATTTGAGAGAATGACTAATATTGAAAGAGATTAGAGACGGCCAACCTTCTGTGGCTAATTAGCCTGGAGACCTTAGAAGGAGAACTCAGTGAGCAGATGGGGATGTGCGACAGCAACCCCCATCTCTTGAATTAAGCCCAAGCCTTGCCTCTGGAAGCAAACAGCCAAAAGTCTGGACCAGGCCCAATCACAAAGACAAGACACGGGGGGCAATTTTGTGAAGCTTCTGCCCACAGCACTCTAGCAGTTCTGCGTTGGGAGAGACGTCAAGGGTCACAATCAGTAAAATAGATCGTGGTTTAGGTCAAGGAGAACAAAGAGTGACGTATCTGTATGGAGGCTAGTGGCGCTTGTTCTCAAACCAGGATACTGAGCTTGGAAAAGTCATCTTTGCTCTTTTCGGACACTGGGTTACTCCGATCCAACTGCAGCGCTGGACCACATTAATTCTGTCTGAATGTTCACAGAGATTTTCAATCATCCATGTCAGGGGTCCCCAACCGTGGCAACTTTAAGAGGAACTCTGGGAGTTGAAGTCCACAAGTCTTAAAAGTTGTCAAGGTTGGACATCCATGTCACAGTTGGCCCAAAGGTGCTTTTTTCCTAACTCTACTCCACTCCAGTCTATTCTATTCCAGTTTGTTCTGTTCTATTCCAGTCTATTCTTTTTTATTCTGTTCTGCTCCACTCCCAGTTTCCTCTACTCTAGTCTATCTGGATTCTGTCTGCCCCATTAGACCACAATAGGACTAGGAGTCAACATGGCAGGTGCATTGCAGCTGAACCAAAATATTCAATTTGCATTCTATCTACCCCTCAAGACCTTAATAGGGTTAGGACCCGACACGGCAGTTGAGCTCATTTCCTCCCTAAATGGGGAAAGCCCTCCTCTTCCGAGTGTAGCTGTGGTGCGACGTGTTGTGGGATGGCACCTTGGAATGGAGACTTTCTGCCTGCAACTCCATCATACACTGACTTGACAAGTAGCCTGCTTTTGAATTTGTAAAGAAATGGTTTCAGAATTGCTCACTGAGAATGTTAATTGGGACGTTTTTCTTTTTAACGTTGTTGTTGCCATACACTAAATAAACAGCTTCTCATACCAGCCCCCCTTGCATGGAGAGCTTCAGGGGTGCGATTCAACCGGTGTAACAACCGTTTCGGTGAGCGCGCGCATGCATGCCAAATGCATGCGCGGCGGGGTTTGCTGCTGACCTCCTGCAATCCTGTATGTTAAACAGCTGACGCGCGGCAATCCGCTGTGCTACACAAAGCAGCTGAGCTTGAAAACCAGGAAATAAAAGGTCAGAATAGAGTCAGGGTAGGCAGGTGGGCCCAACAGCTGATTGTTGGAGCAAAGCGGTGCTCACGGATGATCCTCGGAGCTACTGGTTTGCCTAAACTGGGCCGAACCGGTAGAATTCCACCCCTGGAGAGCTTCTTCCAAGAAGAGCACAGTCAAAGGCTGGCTGGGGAATTCTGGGATTTGAAGTTCACCCCTCTTAAAGTCGCCAAGGGCTGAGAAACAGCGCAATATCCCATTAGTAAAATCCCCTTCCATCTCAACCGCTCAAGGGCAACGCGTGAAAGCAGGGCAGAGCTAACCATGCCAAGCACTGAACCCCATAAACCTGGAACCTTCCCGACACATTCCGATACATACCTGGAACCTTATCATGGTCAGGATCCGGGTCCAGTTTCAACCTTTTTACACTGTTGGCACCTTCTGAACTGCAAAGAGACACAAATCCAAAGAGCGGAACTTAAAATTATGGAAAACAGGCAGGCAGAAAGACACAATCAGAGGCGCACATCATACTAAGGTGACCACAGTTGGTTCAGATGCCACAGCTGGCTGAAGTTGTACATCAATCCTCCATAAATGGTGAGCTACAAACTACAAGGCAGCTCTCATCTGGCATGGTAAACCGAAGATGTAAAAAAAATGTACAGCCCTATTGTGGCATTAAGAATGGAGAAGAGAGGTAGCTCAGACCGGGACAGAGGTGGGTTTTGTCTGAACTTGGCTTTCTTCCTGCACATGTTTGATTGACAGACTAGGGAACATCAACAGTGTTTCTCATGCTGTTGCTAGCCTGCTAGTGAGCCATCGCAGGAAGAGAAACCCAAGAATGCTACCATCCTTCTGGCTTATCACAAGACAAGACTATCTTTGCAAATTAGCCATGAAGAGAGCAAGCGATACAGGCCTTAACAAAAATGGCTGCAGAAGAACAGAGTTGGAAGGGAGCTGGAGGGTTTTCTAGTCCAACCTGCTCCCACAACTTCTGAAGGCAAGCTGTTTCACGGGTTAATAATACTTTCTTTTGAGAGCAGGCAACAAAATTTCATTTTTAATGTGGGCCAGCGCGCTCACAGTCACAGTAAAAGAAAAAAAAATGACAATACAGGTTATCTTATTTTAATCACTGTTAGCAAATTTCTTCTTAGTTCCTAGGTTGCTTGTCTCCTTGAAACCATGAAGAGGGTTTGATAGTTCACCCATTGGATAGCCTTCCTCCTCCCCCAGAAGAAAATAATCCTCTCCTGTAACCCATTCCAAATCACAAATGCCAACTCAGAAGTGGCTTCCTACCACCCATTCCAAGAATCTTCGTTGGGCACTACTACCATGCAGGAATGGAGGGTAGTGCTCAATGAATAAATCAGTTGGAATGGCTTGCCTTCCAAAGTTGTGGGGGCTCCATTACTGGAGGCTTTTAAGAAGAGACTGGACAGACGCTTGTTCAAAATGGTATCGAGTCTCTTGCTTGAGTAGAGGAGTTGGGTGAGAAGACTTCCAAGGCCTTTTCTCATTCTGTCCTCCCAGCTCACCCCTTGTTTCTCCTGATCAGGTAAGCATCCCATCAACCTGTCTCTGAGGCTTCTGGGAAAGGCTGCAGGGTCGAGGAACAGTGTCTCCCAACGTGTCAGTTTTCCACCTACTGACCTTCACAATCTAAAAATAGTGAAGAGGGAGACGGGAGCCTGTCAGGCGTATGTCAAGTCTGTCGGCACTCAGCAGAGCCTTAAGGGCTCCAAACCGTGGCTACTGTGGGGGCGAGAATCCATTATACAACGATTCTATTGCTCTCCTCCTCGTTACAGGTAATACTCGACTTACAACCACCACTGAGTTCCCAATTTCCACTACTAAATAAGACACTTAAGTGAATTCTGCCCCATTTTATGACCTTTCTTGCCACAGCTGTTAAGGGAATAGCTGCAGTTATGATGTTAATAACCCAGTTGTTAAGGGAATCTGGCTTCCCCATTTTTTGCTTCTCTGAAGGTTGCAAAAGGGGATCACGTGATTCCCAGAATACGGCAACCGTCACAAACACGAACCAGTTGCCAAGTGTGTGGATTCTGATTGCGTGACCGTGAAGAGGCTGCAAGGCTGGTCAGTGTGAAAAACGGTCATATCCCCTTTTTTCAGTGCCATTGTCACTGAACAAAGAGTTGAGGAATCTGTTAGTGAAGCCTGGCCCCTCCTTTGCCTGGAAGTTGTCCAGGGGGAGGTCCAATTCCTCATGAGATCTTTGGGAAGACCTGCTGCAGAGCGGCTGCCCATTGTGGGTCCAAGGGTAACTGAACATAGCCAGATGCTTCTGGATACGTGGAACCTCATTTCCAGACTTACGTACATGTCACAGACTCTCTCTAATTCCACAGAGGGAAAAAGAGATTGATTTCATCCAACTGCAAAAAAATGATCTCACATTTAATTAGTTTTATTGCAGGGAAAAATCTAAAGACTTGAGTCCTTTGTTACTGCTGCCACTCTGAGCCATGGGGGCAAAAACTACTGAATTGCAAAACATACCTTCTGTGTTTCACAGCTCCCGCCAACAACTTGGCCTGAGAGAATTTGCTCTTGTTTTCTGATTTTACCGAGAGTTTCTTGTCCGCTTCCTTTTTCAAGTCAGCACTGGCTCCGACTTTTGACAAAGTGTTGTGAACTCAAAGTTAAGGAGAAAAAGAATGCAGTGGGGGAAACACAGAAGACACACAACAAAATTGTGCTACAGCATTATACGCTGTAGTATAGCCGTATTTGCAGTTCTACAAGCATTAACAAGTAGGGTTTTTTTTCTTACATCTTTGCTACTACACTTACTTAGCATCTGGTTCTGGCATACACAAAGTCTGGAAAGAGAGTACTGTATGTACAAATATGTGTAAGGCTGTAAGCTAACTTTAATGGACTTTTCCCCCACCAGCAAGCATAAGAGGACTAATACAAAGACCTATTCAGCTAAAGCAAGAAAATTTGCACGTGGCACACCAAATCCATTCCAGTTAACCATCCACTGAGCTACATAACTTGGTCTATTATAATACCAGAGTTCGAACAAAGAGCTTTTTCTTAAAACCAAATAAGGATTAGATTCAAATTCCACCCTTCCTAGTTTTTACCCCAGCTAATCTGTGTATATTTCTGTGTATGTGTGCATCTCTCTCTCCCCCTCCTTCTCTCTCTTTCCTTCTGTCTAGAGACCTAATCTCTGCAAGATCAATTTCATATCATGACTACCTTGCAGCTCCACTAAGTTAGCTCTCTAGTGCCACCAACTGAATCCAAGAATGGCACACTTACCAAAAACCAACATTGGGCAGGATCTTTCTTGAAAACAGCTCAAAATAGCAATAGCACTTAGACTTATATACTGCTTCATAGTGCTTTACAGCATCCTCTAAGTGGTTTACAGACCTGGAGGACTGAGAATCTCTACAGATTTTTAGCTATACCATTTGGGACGAACACCTTTGGAATGGTGTGGGAGTATAAATGGATTTCCAGAGGAAAAATTGCAGACTACAGGAACCAAGAGCACCACTCAGGTAACCCCGAGGACACAGATAAACCTCCAAGTGGCTTCAACTACTCTCTAAAAGGACACAAATGACCAGCTTGTCTGCCAGAAATATAAATCCTTCTATTCCCCATCATCTTGTCAGAGCTGAAGAAGTTTCTTGGATGAGAAGTGAAATGTCTTCTTAGAAAAAAAACAAGAAAGTCCAGTTGCCTCCTGAAAAAGCACCTTTGGAACAACCATAACCTGGATGTCTGAGAATCTCTACAGACTTTTAACTAGTGGAGTAAAACCCACAGGAGACTCCTTGGTAATTTTCACGCCATTCCAGAGCAAAATTAACGACCCTGATAACCTCACCTACCAGAATGATGAAACCATGTTTTCCATCTTCATGGAAAAGAGGGAAAACACCTGGGAGAGGCTTCAAAATGATTCCCCAATAGTTCCATGATGGAAAATACAGGTAGTCCTTGACTTACAACAGTGACCATTCAAAGTTACAACGGGACTGAAATAAAGTGGCTTAAGGCCATTTTTCATAGTTACGACCTGAATCCCCATGAACAGGCGATCAAAATTCAGGTGCTTGGCAACTGTTTCATACTTATGACCATGGCTTGTCCCAAAGTCATGTGATCCCCTTTTGCAAAGCAAAGTCAATTGGGAAGCCACATTCACTTAATAACCAGGTGGCTAACTTGTCAATTGCGGTGATTCACTTAATGACAGCGGGAAGAAAGGTCATAAAATGGGGGCAAAACTCACATCACAAATGTTTCATTTAATAACAGACATTTTGGGCTCAACTGTGGTCGTAAGGTGAAGATTACCTGTACTTCCAGTGCAATCATAAGCAATTGGTTGGGGAAGAGGAGATACATAATAAACAACCTAAAATGTTTGCTGGGCAAAAAGAGAATCATTAGGGTTTCTTTTTCATAGACGCTGCATAGTCATGCACAGCCCACAAAGCAGGAACTGGTAAGTCACAGATGGAAACTGGAAACAACTAAGCCAACAAAAAAAATAAAAAGGATGAAATCATGGAAAATTTAGAGCAGAGAGCCTCAGTCAAACCAGCCCAACCAGCCAGAACACAGCTTAGCCACTGAGCAGCTTAGTCTGGCAAAGGCTAGCAGACGTGTGCTCGATCAGGAATTCAATGGCTTTTCATCTTTCTCCCCACCCCGCCCCCAGATTTTATTTACATTATTAGCTGCACTAATAATCTTTTACACCAAGACAAATTCCTTGTGTGTCCAATCACACTTGGCCAATAAAGTATTCTATTCTATTCTATTCTATTCTTATTCTTATTCTAGCCTGCTGTTTGTCCAATCCACACCCAACAAACTTGGTGTTTTAAATATTTAAAATTAAAGAGACAGGCAGACCATGATGAGGGACTCACCGAATTGGAGATCTGGGCAGACATGTTCACACTCTGTGGCCAATTTTTTTTTTAAAAAAAGAAGAACTTGGACTTTTATGATCATTCCTTATGGTTATTTCTTGATTTGTACAAGTTGACTGGTTTGGTCACTAAAGAAGAGAAAATACTATAAATCTTAAATGGGAGTCAGTTTGCAGTGAGATTTATTATTTCAGCAGTCTTCAACTTATGGCTGTAATTAAGCCCAGAATGAGGGTTGTAAGTCATGACAGTCATTAAATGAGGCTCTTTTACCTAATGGTTTTTTTTTTGCTGGAAACCTGAAGAAATCTGCAAACCATGTCATAAAGTTGGGTCAAAAATGCAAATCGGTTGCCAAATGCCCCAAATGTAATCAGATGACCAGGGAGAGGGAGGCAGCTGTTGGAACTACACAAATGGGAGGTCTGGTATAAACCAGACATAATCTGAGGACTACCTGTAGGCACAGAGATGGAAAAAATTGACGCTCCCTGCAAAGGAGAAAGGCTGCCCAAGTGCCCAAATGTTGACCATGTGATTATGTTGTGATGATTGTTAAGACTGGTCATAAAACACTTTTTTCATTGCACTGTAACTTTGAACCGTAGCTAAACAAACGGCTGAAAATCGGGGACTATCTGCACAATGTTGTCCTATGTTAAAAGTTCATGACAAAATAGAATCTAAAAGTGGCAATATAAATATAAACGTGTGGATATCATGACAGTCTACTTTTCAAATCAAATTGTATTGACTGTCTCAGACCAAAGAAAGATTTAAAGCAGCAAAATAGTTTAAAAGTGTGACACATCATAGCATAGCAATGAAGCTTATTCACCCCAACTAAACTATTAAAGCCATTAATTTAGTGACCAAAGTTACGACACTAAAAAAGTGATTTATGACCGTTTTACACACTTAGGATTGTTGAGCATCCCCAAGGTCATGCGATCAAAAAATTGGATGCTTGGCATTTGGAAATGTATTTATGATGGTGATCCTTTTTGCGACCTTCCGATAAGCAAAGTCAGCGGGGAAGCCAGATTCATTTAACAACCGGGTTACTGACTTAACAACTACAAGGATTCACTTAACAACTGTGGCAAGAAAGGTCACAGAACGGGGCAAAACTCCCTTAACAACTGTCTCGCTCAGCCACAGAAATTTTGGGCTCAACTGTGGTGGTAAATTGAGGAATAGCTGTAATGCCTTGCACACCAATAATGTAAACTTGGCACCTGTCTTAGAATAATTTAACCCTCCAAAGAGTTCAAAGACAAGAAAAAGGCTTCCCAGAAACATGCCGATGGCTGCTTCTGAACCCCCCCCCCCCACGCCCCAAGAGGAAGAAGGACCACACCCCCTTTTCAGGGCCAAGGATATCCGGTACTCATTCAGCTCCTTGAGGTCTTCTTCGTGACGCTGCTTTTCTATCAGAGCTTGCTGCTGAGAAACTTCATCAAGGAACTTGGACTCATCTTCATCCAGGCCCCTGATCATATTTTCTGCAGAGAACAAGCCAAGATTATCACAAGACTGCGATAAACCCACACATTTGGCTACAGCACCTCTGCCGTCTCATTTCAGCACCTTTTTATTCCATCCGTTAGGAAGATACGGGACAGCCCGTTTGATGGACCTCCCACTCTGATGCAATGGACCACATTTTCATTTGGACCTCGTCTCCAACTTACAAACTCTGTTTCTGCAGAACGCCAGACAATTGATGTAATAACTTATATCATTTATGTAGATTTGTCTGACAATTGCATTAATTATGGAAATGTCACCAAACGGCTTTAACGGACTTTGGTTCCAGCAAACCTGCTCCTTCCACCATTCAAGGTTTTACTGAATTTTGGAAAAAAAGGCTGAACCACCATCCTGGCTGATGCTATCACAGTAAATACACATCCATATTTACCTGTTTGATTGCCATTTAATCTGCTTTCAAGATCTACATTTTCCAAGAATGGGAAAGTTCACACAACCTTCTTTTATAACATTATAGCTTCCTACATACAGGAATATTTTTTTGGCCCGAGGAGCACTTACTCATACACCCCACAGCCGACCTGAAGCAGCCCAGAAACAGGTTTCATCATATTAGGGCCTGGGCTGCCAAACTATGTGAAGCTTAACTTTAGTGCAATTTGATGAACTAGCTTGCAGTGCCCTGGTTTATGTGTGTCATAAAAATGAGAAAGCTTTGTTTATAGAACCCAATGGTCAGGAAAATGCAACATGTTAAGGCAAAATCAAACCACTTTTACTGCTTGCTATAATGCGTGAACCTATCAGAATGCAGAAACAGAAAACATAACTATAGGAAAGAGGGGCACCCTGAACTAAAATTTCTCACTATGAAATCTGGGGGTTCATTCAACAACCTGGGTTCTGAGATTAAAGGCCACTGAAGATACAATGCTTGATCTTAGCCCAAAGGCTAAGTAAAAACGTTCCCATGCATTTTTATAATCTTAAGGACTAGAAACATTAACAAAACAGTATGGGGTGTTAACTATATGAAATTCTATTCATCATCAGCAAGCCCTGAAAACAGCCGATGTCTGCAGACCAGGTGATGCTTTGCACACCAAGATAACAAAATACAATAGAGGTGGCGATGAAACAGCACAACGGGCAGACAAAATCAATTACTTAAAATGCACCAATGGACACTATGAACCGAAACCAAGACAATTGGGGCTCAGCACAATGTACAGCCACTCCTTCCCAAAAGCCAATGATTCCACGACAGAATGAAGGAAAGGCCGTGAAAAAGGGCTAGTCTAAGGATGTCGGATCTCACAACTCTCCGGATGATCCTTACCTGAAAGGCTGTTGCCAGCCAGAGTAAACAAGCTAGAGCTGTGTTTCTTAACTTTAGCAACTTGTGTGGGCTTCAATTCCCAGAATTCCCCAGCCAGAAAATCCATACACTTTAAAGCTGCCAAGACTGTGGAATACTGAGCTAGGGAGCTGAATAATTGGATATAGTGGCCACACTGAGATAATTCTGGATTGGAGAACACATTATATTCAAACATCAAAAGATGTTTCTGAGCATGCAGGAGTGCAACCATAACATCTATTTGTTAATGCTTCAAAGCAGCTGCACTGCACCTCTTTTCTAAGGATCATAGGACTTCTCTAAGGCAGCCTTTATCAAACTTAGCAACTTTAAGGTAGGTGGACTTCAAATCCCCATGTTTGGTTGGGGAATTCTGGGAGTTGAAATCCACGAGCCTTAAAGTCAAACCCTTGACATAAAGCTTCACATAGGCAAGAAAGATCAGGAAGTTAACAAGTGCTGCCAGATGGAAAGATAAAACACAAATGCTTTCGCCTTCAGGTCATTTCCCCATTGTCCACCGATGTATGAAGGTAGAATAAATCTGCAACTGAATCTGCCACTTTTGAAGCCAAGAAGAAAAAGCAGGCAGATAGCTTCACATGGCAATGCTTTTTCCTTTCCTCTGCAGAGGTGGGCAGACTGGTTTCTGGAAGCCAGCTGTGTTACCTTGGCACAACTGTAAGAAGGTGGCAAAGCCATAAGGAAGCATTTCAGGAGAGACAGTTCTGTTCTTAAGGCTACCATACCAGGGAGATAAGAAAAAAAAAACTACACACACACAAGGGGGTCACATCGTGTGACTGAATTTCAGGGATGCTTAGTGAAACTTACTGAATTTGAACTGTTCTTCAAACTCCTGCTGCTTCTTGTCCTTCTGTTCCTGAAGCCTTTCATAGAGAGATCGAGGGTCATACACTTCTTCGGGACATTCTAGAAGAAGAAATAGATTTGTCAGTCAGAATTCAGGAATTGCTCTAATGGAAAATTTACTCCATCCATCGAGTTAATCTACCACAGGTAATAACAAGCCTTCCTGCCTTAAAGCACATCCAACTCGCCATTTTTTAATGTCAGGAAAAGAACTGATACCTGTAAACTTTAATCTGTCGATTCCAGACATGATTGAGTTTACAATTGTGATTGGTGAAATTAATGCACATTTTCTACAAAACTGACAAGATGTTATTGCCCTAAACTCACAGTAGCTGTAATATAACTCTGTTACACATGCAACTACAGGTAACAAAGTTATTATACATTATTTTGATGAGACACTGCGATACAGTGGCTGAGATAATGAGCTGTAGATCAAAAAGTTCCCAACTCAGGCCTTTGTTATAATTTGCTAAGAGCTTCAAGAAAACCATTAGCCTCCCTCTATCCTGGCAAATTATGACTTGTTTCCCATATTTAAAAAAAACCCCACAGAAGTACTGAAAAATGTGATGAGTGCTAAAAGCTAATAGCTGAGTATGTGAATTTTCCTTTGACCTCTTCCTAACACTCGTATGCCCAGGAAGATTTGAACACAGAACATAAAATAACAGAGTTGGAAGGGATTCTGGGGGTCTTCTAGTCCAACCCCTACTTGGTCAGGAAACCCTATATCATTTCAGACAAATGGTTGTCCAATCTCTTCTTTAAAACTTCCAGTGTTGGAGCATTCACGACTTCTGGAGGCAAGTTGTTCCACTGGTTAATTGCTCTAACTGTTAGGAAGTTTCTCTTTAGTTCTAGACTGCTTCATTAGTTTCTCCTTCATTAGTTTCCACCCGTTGCTTCTTGTCCTGCCCTCTGGTGCTTTGGAGAATAGGCTGACCCCCTCCCTCTTCTTTGCGGCAACCTCTTCGATGCAACCTCTTCGTTATTGGAAGACTGTCATCTGTTCTGTGTTACTGTACTTTCTTCCTTAGCTTCCTTTTCCAGTGAAATAAATAGGAATATTTTCAGGATGACACTGAACTGGTCTGTTAGTTTCATTTTGATTATTATGTATAATTTTGCTCAAATATCCTTCCAGTCAGCCACTGTCCATGGACCAGAACTTGGTTGAATGTACCAATTTAATCCCACTGTTTGGGATTGTGACCCTTTAGTTAATCCCCCAACTGACAGTTAAGTACCTTTGGGGTCTTCAGGTTTCCGAACCTTCTCCCATTCCTCCTGCCTTCGCTTGCGACGTTCTTCTAACTCAGCCTCCGAGACAAACCTTTTGTTAATTACCAGGTCCGTGCTGCTTTCTCCACCTTCCATTCTGGAGCAGCCTATGCAGAGAAAAGGGTTAGAACCAGGCCTGTACTCATAAGCTATGCTTTCTGGCCTGGAATGGTCAATAATGCAATTTTTGCCTTGTATCTTGACTTAACAACACAGGTCTAGCACTTCGCAAGTGTGATCATTTGCAAACAGACAAAGGAAGCTGAGAACACAAAGGATATGTAACCTGAGGAGTTACCTGTATTCTGATTTTGCCCAGCAAACATTTTAGATTTTCTTAGGGGTGGATGGGTCTCTATTACATATCTCCTCTTCCCTACCCAATTGCTCACTACTGCACTGGAAGTACAGGTAATCCTTGACTTACGACAAGTGAGCCTAAAATTTATGTTTCTAAGTGAAACATTGTTACATTTGCCCCATTTTACTACCTTATTTGACAACAGTTGTTAAGTGAATCTGGCTTCCCCATTGACTTTGCTTGTCAGAAGGTCACAAAAGGGGATCACCTCACCCCGGGATGCTGCAACAGTCATAAATATGAGTCAATTATCACGTGGCTGAATTTTGATTACATGGGGACGCAGCAACGGTCGTTAAGTGCGAAAAATAGTCCCAAGGGGGCATGCATAAGCGCACCAACGTGCCTACAGTCCCTGTCCTATTGTTTCTTTTTATTTTTCTTATATGTATCCATTTCATGTATTCATAACTATGTTTATACTTATACCTGTTATAATCGCTTGACAAAATAAATAAAATTTTTTTTTAAAATGAGTAATTGTTTTTGGCGCTGTTGTAACTTTGAAGGGTCACTAAACGGACTGTTGAAAGCAGAGGACTACCTGTACAGAATGGCTCTCTCCCTGAAATGGCTCTCTCCCTGAAATCTGGAATGGTTTCCTAGTGGTCTCCCATCCTTTATGTGTGTGTGTGTGTGTGTGTGTGTGTGTGTGTGTGTGTATGCGCACACACACAAATTTTTTAAAATATACATCAATATCAATACATGAACAGTGTGGCATCTGGATGTCATTCATTTTGATACAAATAACAATGTTAATATTTATCCCATTAATCAAACATATAATTTTAATATTAGTATGCATATTTGTATTAAGCTACCCTGTTTCTCCAACAATATGGCCTCCCCCAATAGGAAGTCCCAGCATGTTTTATAGGCATGAAATGAAATTAAGCCCCTCCCCCCAAATTAAGGCCTATATTAAAACATGCGAAATGGGGGGAATGGTGGGGGGGGGGGCTTGCCGTTAGGAAGTACTTTTGTTGCACACCCGGATATGGTGCTGCCTGCGTTGACCCCGATACGAAGTGCCCCACCAACACCGAGGTCAACATCCAAGCCGTCGCCCCCCGCCCGAAGATGCAAGGGGGGGGGAATTAAGTCACCCCCGAAAAGATGGCCTAGCCATTTTTTCGGGGCTCAAAAAAAAAATAAGACCCGGCCTTATTATATGAGAAACACGGTATCTTTCATTATTTAGTTTACTGTTTCGATGTGCCATTCCAATGCCAATCACAATATTTGAGAGTGATGCCCTTTTTCAACCTCTAATCTTTTCATGTAGTTATTACTTTTATCCTGTTATTATAGTATAAAAATGTGAATACTAATATTCCCCCCCTCTCTCTCATTTCTACCGCTATTCTAACTTTTAGACAGGCCTCAGGCAGTTGGTAGTCTCCCATCCTACTGATTCCCGGCCTGGCTCAAGGTCGTTTACTTTATAAGGGACCCCAAAGGGTTCTGGAGCCTCGAGAGACACCCCCCCCCCCATTCCGGTAGCCTCCAACGAGCCCATGCGGAGTTGGCTGGGGATGATGGGAGCGGGAATCTGGAGGGCCCCCGTTTCGGGAAGCCGACTTTTTGCACGAAGGGCGGGTACACGCCATCCCAATCATGAATTTAAACTGGGCTGTCGCCGGATCCTCAGCGTCTCTGGCAAACGCCGAACCGGGAGCGCTTCGCAAAGGCCGATTCGAATCAGGTTTTGTCCCTCACGGGCAGAACCGGATCGTCTTCGCTCCGCCTTCTCCTCACGCGACCCCTTCCTCCTCCGAAGACCAGCCACTCTTTGGCCTCTCAAAAGGTCCAAAAAAGGCCGCCCCTCAGCACCCACCTCGCCGCCATGGACCCTTCGAACGACCACTTTTTCCCCTCAACACCCACCTCGCGGCCAAGAGGCCCGGCTTCTCCGAGGACACGCCCCCGACCACCCCCTCCGCACTTCCGCCCCGCCTCTTCCGCCCGCTCTCAGGCCGCCCGGCGAATCCCCGTCCAAGCCTGCCGGCCTGCTGGCCAATGAGAAGTCAAAATCCGTGGCAGGTGGGCGGGGTTAACCCTCCAATCCAAGTCACCGAAAGGGTTTTTTTCCCCCCTGCTTCCTCCGCCTGCAGAACCCGTCAATCAACGAAGGGGAGAAGCGATTGGTTCGGCCTCGCTATAGTTTAGAGTGGGTGGGGCAGAGAGAGAGGGGGGGGAAGGGGCGCGGCTGGGTTGCTCGGAGATGCGGCGCTGAGGAGTGGGCGGGGCCGCCCCGCTCCCCTCCCGGGCGCGCGCACTCAGTGGCTCGCTCGTGCGCAGGCGCGCGCTCAGGGCGGGCGCGCCGGGCCTTTCCGCCTGGCCGCTGCTGAGGAGAATTGATGGCGAGAAGAGACCGGAGGGTTGTTACTGCCGCTGCCGCTTCGCCTTCGAGGCCCTGAGGCGAAGCCGGGTCTCGCCCTTCGGGGAAGCCCCTGCCGAGCGGCGGGAGAAAGAGGAAAAGCGCCGCGGCGTCTAGTGAGGGGAAGAGCAACCGCTCCCCCCCTCTCCGCCGCCGCCTGAGGCGTCTTCTTCGTCTGGGGAGGTGAGGAGGCGCGCCCGGCTGCCCTCGCGCGAGACCCCTTGGGAGGGGAGGTAATATGCCCTGCCGCCGCCGCCACCCCCCACCCCCGTTCACACGTTCGCGCAGACCCGTGTCGCCGCGGGCTTCATTGTTCCTCGTAGGCAGCGCTTGCACACCCTTCCCGGGAGGGGTCCCACGTTGACGCTCCCTGGTCTCCGCAGAGGAGGAGGGCTCTCTGCAGGCTCGATTCCGATACGGCATTCACACACACACAGAGAGAGAGAGAGAGAGAGAGACGCACGCACACGTGCAAAAGGTGTGTGTGTGTGAATGGATGGGTGGGTGGGTTTGCCCGACCTCTGCCGTGCCCACAAATACAGGCAGGGGAGATTTGCACGTTTGCATATGGGGGTGCAATGAGGGGAGGGGTCTATCTGGGTACTTATGCATGGATTTAAACCCCTGCCCGCCTTTGGAGATGCAGATATGCGGGCAGATATATATGTACAACCGGATTTGAAAGGTCTTTTTTTTTTTTATTTTATCAGCTGCCCCAATTCAGTAGAAAGGGACCCTTTGATGCCTGCATATAATTGTCTGCTTGCCATCCCAATTTTCTGACTCCAGCTTGGTTTTTTTATACTGGTTTACGCGGTTTGGTCGGGTAGCAAATTGCCTTGAGTGATTTTTAAGGTGGTGGTAGCTGTGTAAATAATTCAAATACATTCATACATATTCATGTAATGCAGATTATCAAAGAAGGGAGAGGGGGAAAGAAAAATTGGCATTTTGCACAAAACAGCCATTCACATGCAAGACTCTTGGGGTCTGGTGCTCTGGTTTGCCAAAATAAATATCCCTGGTAGCATTTTAAAACGCACTACTCCAGCTTAAATTTTATTAGGGTGATGTAGCTTTTCTTTCTATTTTCGGGAATCTTTTCGGGCATCTTTTTTTTTTTTTAAATAGGCTTTCCTCTTTATTGATTTGTTCTGCTTTGCCTCCCAATACTGTGGTTGCCTGTCTGTAGGCATGACTAAATCTAAAAAGCGAATGCAATTTCTTCCTCACTTCCATTATATTCCTCTTCTCTAGAACAACCTCCTTGCCTTGCATTAATTTTCTTTTGCCCTTTCATAAGTGGACCTAAAGAGAAAATACAAGAGAGGCAATACAGATAGTCCGGGACTTAATGACTGGCCACTTACTGACTGAAGTTACAACAGATCCCAACAGAGGATTCAAAGTGTGTGTGTGTCCCACCAGTCGCATGACTGCATTTTGGGCACTCAACAACCAGCCCCCATTTACAACCATTTGCAATGCTGCAGGGTCACATGACGGCAATTTATGCCATTTTCACTGAAAATTATCAAACCCAGCATAAATCACCATTTTTTGCTAGCTTTTAGTTGCTAAAAAATAGCAACAAATGAGTTCACAATGGTGGCATGCACTTGACAACCAGATGGTAAAATTGGTCACGGTAAAATTGGTGGCCTGCCTTATGACTGAAATTGTGGACTCAGTTATGGTCATAAGTTGAGGAGTACCTGCACGCTATTCTCTTGGTCTGTACACAATGCACAGTATAGTTCCATTGGCAGAGAGATAAGCATAATTGTTCACCATTAAGGCTAAGGTGCCTATGAACCTCTACCCAGTACAACCTTGAATGTGAACCCATCCTTATCTTGGGAAGGAGGAAATGTATTTCTATGATTCAGAGGTTTGGAAACTGGGAAAAACTGAAATGTGAAGAAAGAGATACTTTACTGAAAGGAGAGCCAGAGGGAAAGAAAGTTTCACTGGAGATAAACATCTGTTGGAAAGAACTGTGAATTTTAATGCCCTCCCCACCCCAAATGCACAGAAGTGGAATGATTGAGGACCTCAGACTTTGCTCGATATTGTATTTTTATCACAAACTGGAGTTTCTCGGAGATTGGCAGCTATTTCCTCTTTCTTCTTAAGTCCAGTAATGCACAAATCACATGTGCTGCTGATAAGTAAGGAAAGAGAGGTTATTAAAAGCCCAAAATACGAACTCAGTGAAATAGCTGCCTCTTTGTGCTTCAGTGGTTAGCTTTGTGTTTTTCTAATATTGTAGGCTTCCTCAGGATATAGATAATTCTGACCTATTTGCATTACTGAGTCACTTTCAAAGCAGTAAAATTATCCATCTCTTGAGAGAGGTTGTCTGTTGCTTCTTTTCTTGAGTTCCTGCCCTGGATTTATCTCTGTTCAAAATGGAGGGATAAGCTCCCCATAATGTTAAATTTCATATTCCAGATATTTTAAGCAGCATTCCTTCAAGAGTCATCTTTGAGGGATATGTGGTGGTAATGGTTGGAGCAAGCAGTGGGTGAATACATATTTTTGGATACCTCCCTTTTTCCTTTTTTTGTTATAATCTCCCCTCTCCCCATAGTAGTATGCTAAAGGAAAAGGACTCACCAAAAAAATCACTTCGATAAGAATTTTAAAGAAATTGTGGATTTTTTGTCTATTCCTTTTAAATGCTTATCTTTACTTCCTATATCATGATTTATCTCTCTTTTGACTCTGTTGCTCTGGTTTTTTAGGGATTTCTACCAGTAAGTGACCCTTTGGATTCTAAATCAAGATGGAACTGTTAGTGCCTCCTTAGAGAATCTGTGTGTTTCCCTGGCTCCCAAGAAAACAAGCATTTGAGTTAAGGAAACACCAACAACATGCCCACATTTACTTGGAACACATTTTTGGCTTCAGATATGAAATGTTGCACATTCCTAGATAACTGCTTTTATTGGTTTACTTAAGGCTAGCAGTAGTGTCCTTTAAGGTTTTCTTGCAATTTTGTGCTTATCAGTTGGGTAGAAAAATGAAATAACCTGCAAATAAAATGGCTGTTTCTGCATAGTTACCGATCTTCTCATGTTTGTAGAAAAATTGACAATAAATTAAAAGGATTTTTTTAAACATTAAAACTATTAAAAGGGGAAGTTACTGTGTAATTAATCTCAAAATGAAATACACAATACTTATTTTGAAATCACACCACTTCCAGTATCTGTATTCTTAAAACAGCTTGTTTTGAAATCAAAATATTTTGACCATTAAATGTTTTGCATGCTACTAAGTGAGATTGCTTTTTCTTCTGAATTTTTTAATTTTCCTCACCTAGAACTAGTTCTTCACATAGAATTGGTTCATACTGTTCATGTAGCCATTATGGATTTAACAAGACTAGGATCTCAGAATATTTAATAGAATTTAACAGAATAACAGAGTCGGAAGGGACCTTGGAGGTCTTCTACTCCCTGCTGAAGCAGGACACTCTATACCAGTGGTCACCAATCAGTGGACCAGGGACCACTGGTGGTCTTTGAGAAAATTGTGGTGGTCCACAGAGAAATGTCACCCCCAAAGCACCCCCCAAAGTAATTAATCCAGGCTGTACAAGGCTGCACCGCCCACATGACCTGCGGGAACACAAGGCTTGCATCGCTTGCATTGCAACCAACATGTAGTGGGTGGAAGGGGGAAATTTGCCCCACGTGCCTCGCCTGGCCACCGGACTACTTATTTCCACTTCTCCTGCTTTCAGCTGCATGCAAAGAAAGCATCAAAAGTCTTTCTTTCACTCCCCCAAACTCTGCCAGAAATTAGTCTTTGGGATCCTGCAAGGCCTCCTGCTCCAAGAGGCAGCGCCTGTGCAACAAGTCTCACAAAGACTCATTTCTGGTGGAATTTGGAGGAGAGAAAGAAAGACTTTTGCTGCTTTCCTTGCATGAAGTCAAAAGTGTCTCTCTCTCTGTCCCCCTGAGAACAGAGCTGGAGATGGTCGATCATTAGAGGAATTTTCCTGCAGACTTTTTGGGGGATTTTCCCAGGGTCTCTGGTTCATGGGATTTAAAATTATGAGTTTGGTGGTCCCTGAGGTCCAAAAGGTTGGTGACCCCTGCTCTATACCATATCAGACAAATGGCTTGCCAGTCTTTTCTTAAAAAACCTCCAACGTTGGAGCACCCACAACTTCTGCAGGCAAGTCATTCCACTAATTGTTCTAACTGTAAGGAAATTTCTCCTTAGTTTTAGGTTGGTTTTCTCCTTGATTAATTACCATCCATTGCTGCCTTCAGGTGCTTTGGGGAATATAGGTTGACCCCCTCTTTTTTGTGGCAACGCCTTAGACATTGGAAGACTGCTATCATGTCACCCCAGTCCTAAGTTATTGGAATTAAGGTTTTGATTTCAGGGTTGGCTAGCACTATGTCTTAAAATAAAGGATTGTTGCAGTAGAATAGGAAGGCAAAGAAAAAGATAATAATATTTACCCTGCTCTAAAATTCATGTGCAAGATCCAAACAGTGTCATAAAGCTGCATGTGAAGAAGCTCTATTTCAAT